GTCGTCGTGTTAACGACATCTGCAAGGGCATAGCCATTTTGCCCCATGCGTTCGCTCGGACAGTCTGGACATGTTTGGACACAAAAACAACTAGCCAACGGGCTACCCCAAACCTAGCCCATATGTTTGGATTTTTCACTCCCCCAAATCCAGCCAATGTGTGGGGGGCGAAATGGGTCTTACAAGACTGTCCGTCACGCCAGGCCGACAGCCCCCACCCCTTTTATACCAAATCCACTCCCCCCTCTCTGCCACCTAATCTCTAGCCGACCACTGCGTGGCAAATTCTTTTTATAACTAACTTGGCACTTCTGAAAAAGAATAAGGACCTTTGATGCGCTTTTTACACAAAAATGTCAAAGGAATTTTTTTTGACATATTGGTGCTTTGCATTTCGAAAGAGTCATAGATCCATGGAACTGATGCAAGCTACCTCTTTGATCCGATTCACCAGAACAAGGAAAGACGTAGGATTGTAATGACATGTCATCATCTTGGATCCAATCTGATTTAGAATTTTTGTATGGATCGCAGTCATGATAATCAAACAACCCACACATGTATCATTGCAAGAATTATAAAAATCCTCATAATGCCAGAAAAATAGGCTTGGCTCTAAGAATAATAAAAAAATCCTCATTTTATATTCCATTGAATCAAATAGAATACGGCAACATACAACGTTTTTATTCTTGGCTGTAGGCGATGCTGGCCAAATTGATAATGGTGCATCAATTTTTTTTTATTTTTTTTTGCGAAATTTGGAAGTTCCATGTATCAAATCTTTCCCTTCCTCCCATGGTCGTCAAATGGATCAAACAGGCAGTTTCAACCGTTTAAACCCAAACTCACTTCCTCTACATGTCATCAAACAAACCTAAATAGGACCATCTTTACAAAAGACAAGACAATTTATTTTCGGATAAACTTACACAAGCAGCAAACTTAAGAATCGCTTTGCACAAGAAGAGAAAGACAAAAGGCTTTGCGATGAGCGGCAAAATGGAGGATGCAAGGCTACATACACCCTTTTCTCTGGGAAAGAATGAAGCATGCAACTAAGACTGGCGACATGTCATTCATCGCCAGGAACACACCGGTGCGGTTTGTCCTAGTAGGGCTCCAGGGATTCAACGACTCTCCTCGCTTGTATTTGCAGGGCCATCTGCCTCTGATCCGCGTGGAGGGTGGATCCAAACCGGCTCGCTGCCCATATGAGCGACGCGCACTGCTCCCCGAGTAGGTTTCTCATCTGTTCATGTATGGGGGTGTTTTCCTTCACATAAACATGTCCGATGAGCAACAGTAAAAATTCCCCGCATTTCAACCTGCATTAAAGTGTTAAACGAACAATAAAATTCAGTTAGTCGAACAACAACTAAACAAACTGGAGAAACGAATATGCAGTTGATACTGTTTCTAGTAGAGAGGAGCTGGAGAGGCCAGAGCTTTGTAATGGAAATTCAAAACTAGGAAGGCATAATATTCAGCTGCTTATCTCAACCGTTCATCGTGTACACGTACGCGTAGCCACACAAAACAATATAACAATAATGAACACGTCGAGGGTCAACAACTGATGCATTTCAAAGATAGCGTTGTAGTGGACATTTCTGTAACTAAGGCATGTTGTTGCAGGAGCCTCGTCTTGCCTCCCACCGGAGCTCTCACTCTCTCTCTCGCGCGAAGGTAGGAGAAAGAGGAAGGAAGGGCGAGGAGTACACAGCAGGAAATGCCCGGCGCACGAACGCCGCCGGCCGCACGAACGGCCACTTGTTTCCTTTTTCCCTGAGCACCAACTCAAGTATAAACACACACCCACGGTGGCAGCTTTGTAGTCCTACAGCAAACACAACGCCCACGTTTCTCCTGCGCACACACGCACGAACGCCCAGCTGGTTTCTGCTGCTAGCGAGCGATCCGCCCGGCCATGCGCACGGCGCGCACTACGCGAAGGACGCGGCCAGCTCAACTCTGCCAACGGCCTGACTACAACCACTACATGCACGCACACGCTACTGCCACAAGGGCACACACTACACTCGGTCGCGTACGCACGCACCCGAGCCCTGTCACGGGCCGAACCCGACACAACCACAGCCCGCACGCACACGCACGTCGCATCCCGGGCTTGCCGTGGCTTATTGCCTGACAAGGCAGACTGGGACACATAGACATCTTGCTTGTTTATAATTCTTCAATTTACGGATGAGATGTAGGCAGATCAATCAGATAAATGAAGTACCTTTTAGCTATAATTTACATGGGACTGGGACAATAACTTAGGTTCAAATTGTTGAGCATGCATTCTTAAAAAGGGCTCCTTTCCCTATCTCTGGTCTCTCTCTTGTCATCACCATGCTTCTGAGCGAAAGCTTGTTTCTGAGCGGAGAAGAAAGGCTCGCTGCCATCGCCTTCAGAGGATGCGGTACTAGCTCCTCGTCCTCCGCAACTACTGCAGGAGTTGTTTGTCATCGGGGAGGTGCAGATGCTGCCAATTCAGGAGGGTGAAAGTGCATTTATCTCTAAATGGCTTTTTGGTGTGATGAGAATATGGTTAGTGGAACTAGTGACGGTTGCTAAGTTTTCCCTCAGATCATTGGTTCCTTGGATATTTATTAGGGAGATGGTTGACTCCCCACTTAAAGATCAAATGCGTGGTATTCCTGCGTCTCCAAGGTCTTATTCGGTTTTATGTGAGTAGTAGGACAAACACACTATCAAAAGAGGTCAAGGTGGTAGAATGACGGTGTGGGAACATCCAAAACATATACACTTGCCTTCGTACACTTACCACCAAAAGGAAGCCCCCTATTCAACATGTTCTTCCCCTCATTTTTTTGAGTTGTTGATTGGTGCCCATAGAAAATTCCCAGAGCTTCTGGACACCACATGCACACAGGTGTCAGGACCCTGTGTGCACGGGGTAGTGTTTTCTCATTTGGACACACGATCATGATCATGTCGCGTGGCATTCCACACAAAGGCAATTGATGACATATATATAGCACCCCGACTTCTTCTGATGGGGAAAATAATACATGCCACTTGTTCGATACATATTAGCACAACATATAAAATCCCTATCTAACTCCTAATATTTAGTTGGCAAGAATGATACAAAACCAAGGCCTCAGAGCCGTACTGTGTAAAGAATATGCTACGTCGACAACATATACAGTATGTAAAATCTCAGTTCTTAGATTGGAGTGGGGTATATGGATAACTCGCCGATGATTCAAAATGGTATCCTCGGTTTTAGGGCAATGGGTAGAAATGCTCTCATGGATGATCATTCTAGATCAAAGGAAACTTCTATGCAAGAAATCTGTATACCAACAACCAACTCAAGATTAGTGACCTAGCAACAGGCGGACCAACACGATCGGGCCAGATTGCAATGTCATGCACTAGAAGTTTCTTCATACATTTGTAGGTGTCGTTTGTTGTCCTACAAAGCGACCAAAGGATGAATAACACGCAATGAAACTCATAAGCCCGTCTCCAGAAGACAATGCTCACCACACTCCACACGTATCCAGGGGTGAACAGATATAAATAGTTGGTTGATGCTATGAGAATCTGGTAGCAGATTTTTTTGATAAAATAAATAACAAAGAAAAGTCACCTAAGACATGCTAAGTCAGTATGTAACAATACATAAAAAGGGTAATATGTAACAAGCCCACATCTTTCCGTACCAAATTATTGTATTAAGTTGAGTAAAAAATGCCATGAAAAAATATTTTGAATCTCTAAGATCAAATCACAGACTATGGAAATTACCTGTTTTAAGAAAACTACGCTTAAATAAGGCATAAAGTATTATGTATTCAAGACTATTAGGAAAATTTATGCAACTCGACTGTTCAAATAGAATATTTGGATTTATTTATAATTAAATGAGAGTCAACATTAAATAAATAAAGCGCTAGAAGGAGGGCTCAAACCATGTAGTCAATTTTTCTCTAGTGTTGACAAAAGACTTATCAGAAGGCTTCAAGTGAATACAGATTGCATGGAAGTCTGCATATTATAGCATTGAACATGCGACTTCTCTTAGTGGTTAGATCTGCTCGTGCTTATAACACTTAAGACGATAATATTGAATTTAGTGTTTTGCTTGATCTGATGACCAGTCCTAATCAATATATGTGTACTCTGAACAGTGAGAATTTGTTCATCGGCACCACCTCGTTTAGCAAGCATGTATGACGAATTAGAAGGGATATTTTCCACATAGTTGATAAAGAATCTTAAGCCTAAGATTATTTAAGTAAATCCTCTTTGGCACAAGCAGATCCTCTTAGGGGCTATACGTGGCAATGACCCGATCTTCAAAAAATGTAGAAAATAATTAGCAATGTATGTGGCCCATTAGATCTATTCCATCATGATATTTTTGTTTGGCCCATGTTTTTATTACTACATTGTGGGCCGGAGCTTGGCATTCTGGGCAGTGCTAATGGTCGACACATGCAAACCTGTCTTTCTAAAATAAAAGTACCAAGCACTCTCCAATCCTGCCAGGCTGCCATGTAAAGAATTCCTCAAATTCTCTCAAGAAAAATCCCATATGGCTCTCAAATTCTTGACTCTAAAAAAAATCTCCAGTTATTAACCCACCTAAGAAGTCTCTTTAGGTCTTCCGTTCCATCCATTTTTTAAGATATGAATATTACTATAGGGTACATCTCTAATTATTCTGTGCTATTTTTTTGCTTTAATATGGTGGCTCGTCGTTGTAAACGTTGACCCCTCCTATGTTTTGTGTCACGCTCCGCCTCTGCTTCTTGGACAAGTATATGAGATAATGGCATGATGTGCCTAGAAGCAACTTATATGTAACAATCATGTATTTCGGATGCAAATACAACATGATTGTGTGCCTCGTGTGCCTATGGCGCGACGAAACATACAGTTGGTACAGTGCAACTGTGCGACTGAAACCGTCGTGTTAGAGAGCCCTTCGATACGATGATCACGCGTGTGCGACATCGCATAACCGTGAGTTGTGAAGCGTCGCGCGTACAAGTGCGAAAACCCTTGCTACAAAACCCCTCACTCATTTTTCGTCCATAGGCGAAGAAATGCCTCCCACGCCACCCTGCGCAACCTCCTCCCCATTTTTTCTTCATTTCAGAAAAGACCCCCCCCCCCTCAATCAGGAAATCAGCCTCCACCCTTCCCCAGTCTCTACCAACATTGCAGGTTAGGCCTAGGTTATTTCCGTCCTGCCCCTACCCAATCCCTACCCAACTAATTATAACAAAAACTACATGACCAACTAGGAATTTCCATGGGAGAACATGAAATTTTTCCATTCATTGTGTAATTCACCATGATATGAAGAGAAAAACCACACGAGTTTACAAAAAAGTTGCCACGCATCCTCATTTGAAGCTGTCATGAAGATGTGTTGAAGATTCCTGCCTCTCCCGCCCCTACCCTTCCAACATCCCCTTACTTCATCAAGCAAAACACATAAAGTGCACGTTTTGAGGGGAGACAAATTTGATGTGTTTTTTAGTGATGTTGACATGAAAGTGTATAGAGGTTGTCATGTTAACGATATCTCCAAGGGCATAGCCATTTTGCCCCAATGTGTCTGCTCAAAAAATCTAGACATGTTCAGACACAAAAACAATCACCGAATGGGCTCCTCCAAACCTAGCACATATGTTTGGATTTTCGGGACTCCCCTAAATCCATCCCATATGTGGGGGCGAAAAGTGTATGCCGACAGTTCGTTACGTCGGCCCAACAACATTTCCCCACCCCTTTTATACCCACTCCACTCTTCCTCCCACCCCTAAAAAACTCCACTCTCCCCTCTCCCCGCCACTAAATCCCTAGCCGATCACCGCCCGCCAAATTCTAGTTATAACTAACTTGGCACTTTTAAAAACGAATTAGAACCTCTGATTTGCTTTTTACTCAAAAATGTTTTAGGAAAGAGATGCAAATTGGTGCTTTGCATTTCAAAGGAGTTACCTCTTTGATCTGATTCACCATAACAAGAAATAAAATAAAATTGTAATGACATGTCATCATCTTGGATCCAATCTGATTTAGAATTTTTGTATGGATTCCAGTCATGATATGATGATAATCAAACCGACGCATGCATCATTCTAAGAATTATAAAAATCCTCATAATGCCAGAATAAAATAGACTTAGGAAAACTTCATGGCTGGTTTTGGCTGTAGACGAGGCTGAATTGATAATGGCACAACAAACTTTTTGCAAAATTTGAAAGCTTCATGTATCAAATCTTTCCCTTCATCCCATGGTCTTCGAATGGAACCAGACAGGCAGCTTCAACCTTTTTAACCCAAACTCGTGTCCTCTATATAGTACATGGTCTTCAGACAAAACTAAATAGGACCATCTTCACAAACAAAGATGAAACGATTTATTTCCAGACAAACTTACACAAGCAGCAAACTTAAGAATCGCTTTGCACAAAAAGAGAAAGACAAAAGGCTTTGTGATGAGCGGCAAAATGGAGGATGCAAGGCTACATACACCCTTTTCTCCGGGAAAGAATGAAGCATGCAACTGAGACCGGCAACATGTCATTCACTGCCAGGAACACACTGGCGCGGTTGTCCTAGTAGGGCTCCAGGGATTCAACGACTCCTCGCCTGTATTTGCAGGGCCATCTGCCTCTGCTCCGCGTCGAGGGTGGATCCAAACCGGCTCGCTGCCCATATGAGTGACGCGCACTGCTCCCCAAGTAGATTCCTCATCTGTTCATGTATGGGACTATGGGAGTGTTTTCCTTCACATAAACATGGCCGATGAGCAACAGTAGGAATTCCCCGCATTTCAACCTGCATTGAAGTGCCAAATGAAAAAAAAGCCAATCAGGCAACAACTAAAAACAATGGAGAAACAAATATGCAGTTGATACTGTTTATAGTAGGGAGGAGCTGGAGTGGACAGAGCTTTGTAATGGAAATTCAAAACTAGGAAGGCATAATATTAAGCTGCCCAAAAGTATAACAATAATGAACTGGATCAACTCAACCTTTCATTGTGTACACGCTTAGCCACCCAAAAATATAACAATAGTGAACACGTAGAGGTCAACAACTGATACTTTTCAACGATAGCTTTGTAGTGGACATTTCTGTATCTAAAGCCAGACTTGGACACGTAGACATCTTGCTTGTTCATAATTCTTCAATTTACGGATGAGATGTAGGCAGATCAATTAATCAGATGAATCAAGTATGTTTTGGCTATAATTTACATGGGACTGGGACAATAACTTAGGTTCTAATTGTTGGGCATGCATTCAGAGTTAATATAAGAACACTTCAGGATTTATACTTGCCTTATGTGTTCTTCAACTTGAACATCCTTCAAAAGCTCAGCAACCTTTTCAAGTCCACTGTATTCCTCAAAGTCCTGTGGAAGGAAGCAGTTATATAAGGTACAGGCTAGCTGAAGAACAAAAATAACCGCAGTGACCAGAAATAATCAAGCCCAACAATTTATTTAACGCGCTCACACCGACTATTAATCATGTTCTGGAATGAAAATTAGTACTCAGACATACTGGGCCAAACAGAGCATATCTTGAAAGACAAACCATCAAAGATTTAGGCATTTCAACCATGCCAGAGCTATCTGCTAGCTTATATTTGGAACTTCTTTCTTCTACACAAAATTTAAGACAACCGTAAGAGATTCAGGAAAGAGGTAAAGCGTACAATCTGATTCGAAGGTGAATCCAACATCAACGATATGAGAGCATCTAAGCACACCCCTTGCGCAGTTGGACCTCGGCTGGCTAATATATTCAGCAGTACCTACACCAACTGAAGTTATTAATTGCATTAAGAAGACCCGAGAACAATAGTACTAAAAAACAGATGAGCGGCGGATACCTGCACAGCCTTGTACTTGTGGGCTAGAGCAGTGCATCTGCTATACAAAAGGCAACAACCTTCCAAAACTCGAAGAGCTAGAGCAATTTCGGAATCTGTTGAGGGGCTCGTAATCTTCGTTGGTTCGACTCCAAATATATTATCCAGTGTCACACGGTATCCTTTGGTTGATGCAATGAATTCTGAAAGAGAACTGGAATAACTGTCACAGAACACAAGCGTGTCAGCATCGCTCCTTACTCAGGTGCACACATTGTTGGAAATATGCCCTAGAGGCAATAATAAAATGATTATTACTATTATATTTCCTTGTTCATGATAATTGTCTATTATTCATGCTATAATTGTGTTATCTGGAAATCGTAATACATGTGTGAATACATAGACCACAACATGTCCCTAGTGAGCCTCTAGTTGACTAGCTCGTTGATCAACAGATAGTCATGGTTTCCTGACTATGGACATTAGATGTCATTGATAACGGGATCACATCATTAGGAGAATGATGTGATGGACAAGACCCAATCCTAAGCATAGCACAAAATCGTGTAGTTCGTTTGCTAGAGCTTTTCTAATGTCTAGTATCATTTCCTTAGACCATAAGATCGTGTAACTCCCAGATACCGTAGGAGTGCTTTGGGTGTACCAAACGTCACCACATAACTGGGTGGCTATAAAGGTATACTACAGGTATCTCCGAAAGTGTCTGTTGGGTTGACACAGATCGAGACTGGGATTTGTCACTCCGTATGACAGAGAGGTATCTCTGGGCCCACTCGGTAATGCATCATCATAATGATCTCAATGTGACCAAGTGGTTGGTCACGGGATCATGCATTACATGACGAGTAAAGTGACTTGCCGGTAACGAGATTGAATGAGGTATTGGGATACCGACGAGCGAATCTCGGGCAAGCACTACAAGAAATATGTCAACTTGTGACCACCACTATTGGTCACTGAAAGGTCATGGTTTTTCATTTGTGACCTTTTTATGACCAAAAAGAGAAGGTCAAAAGCTGGCGGTCGTAAACTGACTATAGTGTCCTTTCTTCTGGAATGGTCGAAGACGTTTATGACCAAAATATGTCCACTACAGCGTTTTGGTCACTAGCAACCTCCCTAGGCCACGTAGGCATCCAGCGTGGCAAGCTGATGTGGCACAAGATTCAGCCCGGTCCAATTCGGTTTTCTACATGGGCCTAGCCTAACAATTCGGCCTTTATAATATTTATTTTTCCTATTAATTTTTGCTAGCTACATGAGCCTGGCCCAACAATTTAGCCTTCTTATTTCATTCCATTTCGCAGTCCATTTCATTAAGCCTTTTTTACAGGTTTTTCATAAATGCAGAATATTTCAGTCCACTATTGTTTGGGCCATAGCCTTTTTAGAGCCCAAATACTATTCGATCCAGTAGAACATTCATCTTTTTCATTCACATATTTCATTTTACACATTTCAAATGCAAACAATCAATAATTCTCTCAATGGTGCACATCAATGATCCAGTAGATAAATGTGTGCACGATACATGTGTGCACATACATGTGTGCACGATCCACAAACTGTACATGTGTGCACAATCAAATCCACAAACTCACAACAGCACATACATGTGTGCACGATCCAACAACTGTACATATACAATAAAAAACAAATACACAGGCACCATCAACTAAAACTATGGCACATCTCGAGTCTTCTTCTGATCTTCTGTTAGAGCAGCAGCAACCTCGACGACATTGGATCTTGATCTACATAAATTATTAGTGAGATACAGTGGGAATTAAATCATTGCCAATAAAATATATCCATTCAAGAGAATAAAAATTATACATAAATGCCCAAATGCCTCAGTTCAGCAAGCACTAAGCATGGCATAGCAAAACTTCCAAAACTTGACTGCAGCACGTTAACATATGAAGCATAATGATAAAACAGAACAATGGATTTACCGTGTCTATATTCTGGTGACTCATGTGTACATATTCTGATAACCATTACCATCTAGCCAAGAACAACATGGACATGATACCAGTTACCTACCAAGACATAGAAAGTCATTCACTACAAACAATAAACAGAAAATACAGCAGAGAGAGTGTCTCTCTCACCAGATGTGGTGGTGGCTGCTGGAATTACAGAGTTCAATATAGACAAGGCAGCTTAATAGAAGATAAGATAAAAAAATAAGCCACATATTTTCTGCTAGCAAACAATAGGTTGAAACCATGTCATGGCTGCGAATACAGGAACTAAGTTATAATGACACTGGTCCCTTTAATGTTTTACTTTATCTGTCCATCAAGACTGAAAGTTCAAGGGAACTACTTGGATGTTATAATAGTTTCAACGCGTTTAAATAACAGTGTAACAAAAGCCAGCCATGCCTCGACGATCGTGGTATCAAAGACCACATAGGCAAGAAAGGGGAGGGACCAAAGAACTCACCTAAACCACTCATGCCGCATCCAGCACCGCTGGCACCACCTATTCCTGCTCAAATAGAGTAGTATGTCATGGGACAGTGACTTATCAATAATAGCATTTCAGGAAAATAGGAGGTTTACATGATAGTATGTAATGGGAAAGCGACCTATCAATCACATAACACAGTCCAAGAGAAACATCTCTATTTGGCCCTAAACTAAACCCTATGGAGTGAGTACTCCATGGAGTGTCACCAGCAGCAAGATAGCACTACTCTTCTAGTACTCCAGCAAGAAGAATAAAGTATATGATACATAGGCAAGGCAGACTTGGTGCTAATAGAATACAGGAGCAGGGAGTAGCATAGTAATTAACAAAGAAATGAACAACATATAAAATACTCCTACTAGTGTAGTAGTTAAGATGATGAGACAAAGGACAGCAGCATGCAGAGTTCCTGATGCACTGGTGTGGCCCAACTCGGCTGCACCACACCGAGGGACTGTTGTTCCATCGAGCTCGACCATGTGCAGGGCTTCATCGTCGTCGTGGAGGTCCCGGTGGTCGTCCTGGTCCATGGAGTGTGAGCCTTATTATTTCATTTCAGAGAAAGCGTTAAACACAAATGGCATGTATTTGGATCACTGTGGAGAAGCAAACTTCGCTAATAAATATCTCAAGAACCTGGCTAGTTCATATATCTCATGAATCGAGAACTATGATATGGGTTCCAGGTTTCAGTAAAATAAGGTAATATTTACTAGAAAATATTTGGGAATGAAACTACGAGTGGCGGTGTTCCAGGTTTTGTTTCTGTATAAACGCAAGCAAGGAAAGGACTGCACGCACGGTTGACCAAAACTGCTCATCAGTGTCGGTGCGAAACGCTCAACAAGTAGAGCGCAATCGACGACAAACACGTGACTGCAAACGTCTGCCCGTCAACATGATCAGAGTGCAATTCAAACACATAGCAGGTAACATAAGATGCACTTTGGTTTTACCCAACAGTTTCAGGCAGCATATTTAGCACATCAGGAATACACCACATGAACTGCATGCTCAGGTACTAACATAACAGAATCACGACGGCGAATCCGTAACAAGTTAATGCATGGATACATTTTAGCACAACCAGAATACATCTCATGAACACGAAATCCAATAAGCTATTAGACAAGAGCAGCTTTAATTCAGTATATGCAATGCCCACCAAAATCCCAACAGAAGCACTAACGAAATCCAATAGAACATGAATAAACTATAAACTAAACTAATCTAGGTATACTGGTCCAACAATCCCACCAGCATAATTCTCACAAAATCCAACGGTGCTAACCAGCAACACTGGTAAGCCTGCTAAATTCCGTACTAGCGCAGTCCAAAAGCATAGCACGCACGAAAC